ACATCGGAATGATATCCAGGACTTTTTTGGACATGGATCATGCACGTTCATGCCGATGTTAAGTTGTTATCCATTAGTTAAAACAATAGCAGATAAATTACAAACAATAATTGAATAATTTCATATTTGTAAGAAGAAATTTCTAAAGCACACATTGTTCTAATCAAGTATTCACATAATTAGTAAGATAAGATTATCGTAGATTTTTCATTAACTAAAATAAAGTATCATTAGAATAATCGAAATCAAGTTTAAAATATTTCTATTTATTAGTTTTTCGACTCTTTTCAAATGTATATGTATAACTATGTTCTAAAATGAACAAAGAAGATGATTGTACTATAATCACAATTCTTAGATTTCGAACATTATTTTGAAAATGTTACAAATGAATATCATTACTGTACATATCACTAGAAAAAAATATCTTGACGTTAAAATGGCATTTAGCTCTGACCGGATAAATATCGATAAGAAAATAGACTGTTGAAATTTATACCTCATCAGATAAGATATTCATTGAATCTGATCTTTGTTGACAACACATCAACGCTCTATACTTGTTGATAAAACGTTTTCTTTTTTCAATTTTCAATATAAAATAAATTGTTAATATACTATTGTGTTACAGATCTGAAAAGATTATTTTTAGTCACTCATGGAAAATCATACGTCATGATCATATTTATCAAAAGTATGCACAGTAAATAGAACTTGTTTGAAAAAAAAAAAACAAACATTTCTATATACTTTTTCTTCAATAGTAAGAAAAGAAAAAATCACCTAGATTATTAGATAAACTGAATATTAAAGAAATATAAGAGAGATCAGAATTCAAGATTTTACAATTTTTGTCTGACTTTGTCTCTTTTTCAGACTAATATTTCTTTGAAAAAAAAAAAAAAAAAGTAGAATGAGTATTTTTGTTTAAATAACTTTTAATATTCCAGCGTTTCTTTTAGAAAACATTTTGGGAGAATCTATAATATATGATTCAATGTGAATTCATCTCTTGTTTCCAACGGTGAAAACCGCATCGCTCTATATCCTGTTTCTATCAACAGTTATTGAAAAAAAAAAATACCTACCCACCTTTTTTTCTTTAGCAATGGACATTTCTTATAATATTATAAAAGTATTTTCGAACTTATTAGGACTTTGTTCTGAAATTTAAATAACAATCGTCTTTCTCTAATCATAGTTGTTATTTCAAGGTACCTACTCATGCTACGCAATATTGAAAGAAAAGATATAAAGCACAGATATCTGTTTTCATATTTATTTTATATGATTAACGCCAAAAAATAAGTTCTCACATCCGTCGGATAAATAGCTTTTTTTTATTTAAACAAAATTATTGATTTTAACTTGAATGAAAAGTGAAGATAAATATTCATACAAATGTTATATTTTTTTACGATAAGACATTTTACTCTCTTATCTATAATAAAGGTGAGAGTAGAAATTGGTTTGAATGAATCAGGAATCTTTAATGTTGAAAGTCACTCATGGATCTGATTATTTTACTCTTTTTGTTTTCCTTATGATATCCAAATTTGATTTATGCTTCAGTTCGCCATACTTAATGAACTAAGAAATTATTGAAACAATATGAGATTCATCATCAAAAGACAAATTTATTAATACGAATAAAATGATTTTCTGTTAATTCATATTACAGTATTATCTACGGAATGAGAACATATTTGTTTATCAACACGAATAATTATTCTTTACAAATAATAGATAATTAATTGAGACAAAATCGAGAAATAAAATGAAAAATGAAAAGAAAAAATATAAGATGAGAGAAAGGTAAATTCTTTGGGTGTATAGCCAATGAATTTTATGTTCATTCACTTACGTTCTATTCACTTTCTGATATCAATAAAATAGTTGTTTTTAATATATAAAATCTTAAATTAAATTTTTAACTCTCATTTTTCCCTAAACTCATCATATTGAATCTATTCAGAATATACACTATCTTTGACATATTTAATTAAATACCATAATGATGAATCAAGCAAATGTAAGTTTTAATCCATCTCATCACGCTTATGATTATTGAGATTATGAAACAAGTAAACGAATGGATTCTATTAAAAATCATTCATTTTAGAATTTTTCATTGTATTTATTGAATTATAAAACACTATGATTAATAATTAGAGAAATAAACCTTTTTGTATCTTTACTTACTAAAATAAAAAATAGATTTCACTTTTATTTATTATGACAATAAGTTCAAATAATGCCTAATGTTTCCTTTCTCATTCGGTGCCATTATTTGATAAACCATCTACGGAAAATAAATACAGATAATCAATGCAAGACGAATAAAAACTCAAGCAACATTTGTTATAACTTTTTATGCAATTGAACACTTGTAAGTTTACTTTTAAAAGAGACAAGAATGAATAAGATATAGCCAAATTCATTTGTTAGCAACGTGATTTCGCAAAATTCAAACACGTATATCTTGATATACTAAAAATTCTTAGAGTTAATTTTTAGATGTTACATGTAAGTTAAGTTACTCTAGATGCTCTAAAAAGAAAAACAGCACTAGAACTCTTTGTTCAGAGAAGGTGGTAGTAAAAGAAGTAGCGTTAAGAAACATCGACTTTCACTTCATATAGAAACCTTCGAATTGAGGTATAATTTTTGAAAAATAAACACTACCATTCTGTACATAATTTCTAATGGTACAAAATCTCTATCGAAAGTTTTTTCTGAGCACCCATGGATTTTTCAAGAAAAAAAATCAATTTATTTTTCGTTACCGATATAACAAAGTATGAATATATAAACGAAAGCATACTCTTCCCAAACAGACATGATTTTACAAAAATGAGTTTAAACCCTCGAAATCGATCTTTCCTTAGTGTTTAAGCACGTTTGACATAAAATATTCGTGTAAACACGAAGAAATCCAAGTTTTCAACGTGAACTTTCACAAATTTTTTTATCGCATATACTCTTGCTCAAAGATGCAAGTATTGATTCATCTAATATTTTCAACAAATATTAATTTTATAATGAACATGCATATGAAGATGTTAGATCATTTATCAGTGCTTTAGTTAAGAAAAATTGAATGAATAAATTCGTTTAGTTTTCACTATTGAACATATAGTACTGCTATACTAAACTTAATTTTTGAAAGGTGTCGATATCATACATGTGTATGTCACTAATCAAAATAAAATGCTTTTTCTTTCGTTTGAATGTATCATTTGCATAAAATCGGCAAAGAGAGGTAATTGTGTACTAATTATAGGTAGAAAGATGATAATATGTATATTGAAAGAAAGACGATCTAAAGGAACACATGTGTTTCTTATGTTTGCTCATTCGGTGCAGTTATTATAGTTACATATTATATATTGAACATTTTTTCAACAGCTATTACTTCCACTAATTGAATGATTTACTGTATTTTCTTTGTTTTTGTTGATTCTGTTTTGATTTATTAACATGCCACAGAAAATAGATCATATTATGAAAAGTACACTAATTCATTCTTTCAGGGTTTTTTTAACTAAAGCATTTGCAAATGATTTAACATCTCCATATGCATGCTCATTATGAAATTAATATTTGTTGAAAATATTAGATGAATTAATACTTGCATCTTTGAGCAAGAGTATATACTGTTTTTTGTAATACTAAATCAGTATGTCAAACAGATTTATATCTTCGATAATAAACAATGATTTATTTTCAAACTTTGCCTTATTATTAATATAAATTTGAGTTGTATATTTCTGTTCAGGAGGCTTGGAAAAACTAAATCCTTGTTGGATGTCCAAGAACTTACTAAGATCTATTGTTTGAGCATATATTTAATTCAAAAGCGGAGTGCCTCTTTTACTGATGTTTGTGATAGTAGAGCATAAAAGAAAGAGGAAAAAGGTCTGAAAACGATGGCCCAAATATAGCACTCACACTTGGCAAGGCCAAATACTAATGTCCAGAATAAAAGAAGACATCCGTTTTTTGTTTGTTTCATCTTTTTACCTTTGCTAAAGTATACAGGTAGTTAGTTTCATCTCTGATTATAAGTCTTTTCTTTTCCATCTTTTGTGAAACACAATCTAAAACTAATATTGAAGTATGCCATTTACTCCAGCAGTAGATTTGAATAACAGCTCTTTTTTGTATGTTACATATGTTTGGTATCTATTGAATGTTTATAATAAGAACACTTTGACACTTTATTTTGGTATAGCATATGACTTATCACGAATTGCTTTAATGAATAAAGTACTTTCAAGACTATTGATCATTACTACAAATGAATGACTGTGAAAACTTCTTGACTTTATGATTTTTCTTCAAGATCTGCTTATTGTTTCACTGCTTTTTCATCTATTAAACCCTCTTTGCTAATGATTCAAAGACCAATAAAAAATGTAAAGTCGACAAAACAGATCTAAATAAGTCGAAAACAGTTAGATTAATAGCACATTCAAAATAGATATTGTTAAATCATGAATAAATCTGCAAAGGCAGTTAGTCAGTGTTAAAAGACGTAATTCTTCGTTGAAGCAAATTCAAATCAGTCTTAACTACCCTAAAATCAAGTACTCAAAACATTCTGTAATGAATATTCATTGGAAAGCAAACAGATGCAATACAGATTAACAGAGGGTGTAAGAGCTCAAAATGGATAGTTCGGTGTGTATTTTTGTGAGGAAATTAGTTAGGCAAGCTGATTGCTAGATAGGTTTGTAGGTATATAAACGGATAAAAAGACAAATTCATACTTACATCTACATTGTTCTCTTGAGAGTGTGGATGGGGGAAAGCTGTGACTATGAATGTGAATGTTCCTCGTATGGTTAGAGAGATATTCACTCATTAATTAACTAATTAAATTAGATCCAAACAAAAGGTAGGTATATCCCGTTTTGCCTGAAATAGTCTATTTATTATATAAAAATTATATTAATATTTCTTACTGTTTTCTAATTTCAACTGTTGAAGAATGAAAAATGTCATTTGTTAAATATCTACTTTATTTCATGTGCTTACATGAAATTATTGCTATATTTCAAATTAATTTTGATCTCACCGAAATTATCAATAATAACAATCTTGCTATTCAACATGATTGTCTCAATATTATTGGTTTAACTAAAACTGAAAATGATCCTTATGATATAATCTCATATTGTATGAATGAATGGCCATCAAAATGGAGTATTCAAAAAAGTAATATGGATCAACATTTTACTTTTGCTGAATTTTACGAACGAAATATTACAAGTCAACAATTATACATTTGGTCAGCACCTATGGATACAATTGAAAATTATTAATTTTATTTAAATCAAATTTCAATTTCAAATGAAATATCATCAATGAGAACACAATTATTCTACAATTATACTCTACCAAGATATGGCTGAATCTGTCAGCATACATTTTGATGATTATAAATCAAATTATAGTTCGTTAAATGAATTTATTCAAGATTTCTATCTTAGAAATCAATATAAACCAACAACTTTAACATGCTATAATCATTTGCAATGTAATCGTGGTGTAAATTCAACATGTCTTGATTGGAGTGAAATATGTGACGGAAAAATTGATTGTTTAAATGATGCAGTTGATGAAGAACAATGTTGGTTATTTGAACTTAATGAATGTCAAAATGAAGAATTTCGATGTAATAATGGACAATGTATATCAGAAATATTTCTTCGTGATAATCCTAATAATTCTTATTGTCTTGATGAAAGCAATGAAATATTTTCACTTACCTCTAAACGTTACAATTGCGATATATTTGAACCATCATTTGGTTTGTGAACATGTTATATGTACAATAAAATCATTGGCAATATCTTCCTAAACCTTTGACTAGTTCATGTGTGCAAGAACGTACTGAACTACTCTTACAAGCAATATTTTTCGATAACCTAAAGTCTATATCAGATGATTGTTGGTCAGCATTTAAATGTATTATTTATATACCAACTCTTCGAAATTTAACATGTCCAAGAATAATTTGTGAAATTTGTCCAGATATGCTCTTATTACCTGCTGGTTCGATTTTATTCGGTCTTATTTATCTTGCTTATACAAAAAATGAATCTCAATATATACGCTATAATGATCAACTTTGTAATGGTTTTTTTTTTCAAACATAACATTGATATCATTTAATAATCGTACATGTCGTCGTCCACAGGATTTTCCATTGACATATAAACTAACGCATTCAACACTGTGGTTTTATGCCTCTATTTCACCCTATTATAATCAACTTTACAAATGTAATACAATTATTAGACATGATTCAATATTTTGTAACAAGTCACTCATGTATCAATGTCTTAATTCATCGAAATATATTTCAAAATATCGTGTTCATGATGGTTTTAATGATTGTGATTATAATGATGACGAAAATCCAGATGTGCATTATGCTAGAAAACATATTTCATTTGAAACAATTTGTGATGGTTTTACTGAACTAATACCCGTAACTTTCAATCAAATAAATGAAACCGATGAAACAGAATGTGAATATTGGCCATGTAACAATATATACACTCGTTGTAATGGCTTCTGGAATTGTTTTGATGGAGTAGATGAAATTGATTGTAATTCATCATCATTATTAAACTGTTCTCCTCATCATCACCTATGTGTGCCATCTGTTACAAATCAACTAATACGTTTATCCCTTGAAAAAACTAATGATGGAAAAATTAATTGTCTTGATGCTACAGATGAACCGAAACTATGTCGTAGCAATAATTATTTACCAATATCTTATAATTTTCATCGTAGAAATCATCGTGATCAATCTTGTATTGCTTTAAAATACGTTTGTGATCGCTTTGAACAATGCACATATGGTGATAATGAACAAGTTTGTAGTAATAATTGGAATTGGTCCACACCTTGGTACAATGTTTGTGCCAACAAAATGTATATCGGTTCGAACTGATATCGAAGAATTTCGTTGCAAATTACATGATAATATAGAAAAACCAAAAATAGTCCATTTTACACTTGATAAATTTCAAAATTCGATTAAAAACAAAACGAAAACTAATCTGAATGTTTCTCAACGTTTACCATTTATTCAAACGATAAATCAACATTATTGTCATCGTGGACTTTCTTTTCGTATTATTTGACTACTATCACTTGTCTTTGTCCACCAAGTTTTTATGGTGATATGTGTCAATATCAAAATCAACGAGTTGCTCTCACTATAGAATTTCAAACATTTTCTCATTCAAAACGAATCCCATTTTGTATTGTTATTGCACTTATGGATGATAGTGATCAGCGAACTATTCATTCCCATCAACAACTTACTTATTTACCAATGCAGCATTGTCAAATTAAATTCAATATTTATTTAATTTATTCTACATGACCTAAAAATGAAAGTCAAAATCATTTCATTCATATCGATTTTCTATGACAAGATCTCATTAGATTATCAAGGAAGTATATTATTACCAATCAATTTCGCTTTTCTACCTGTGTATCGTATTGCCATTCAACTTAACATTCCATATAAGAATAGCATGATTAATACTTGTTCAGATCATCTTTGTATTCATGGTAAATGTATAAAATATTTCAAAGATCCGAAAGGTCGTAGTTTTTGTCAATGTAATCAATGATGGTCTGGTTTATATTGTACAATTCCATATATTTGTATGTGTGCACCAGGTTCGTTATGTATTGGTATATCAGCAAATAATCGATCAATTTGTGTATGTTCTATTGATAAATGGAGTTCTCAATGTTTACTTTCTAATGAAATATGTCAATCAAATAAAAAAACAACATTGTATCATAATGGTGGTTAATGTATACCTCTTGATCCATATGTTGTATCTAGTAAAAAATTTGAATGTATTTGTCCATAAGGTTATTTCGGTGATACATGTGAAATGGTTAACAATAAAATTATTCTATCATTTGAGAAAGATGTCATTTTATCACAATTAATACTTGTTCATTTTATTGAAGTGATAAATAATGCTACACATGAAATTGGAGCTACATTTAAAACAATTCCTTTCTATCGAAATTCAATTATTTTTAATTGGTCACGTTCATTTTATATTGCATTATTTGAATTTTTTTTAAAATGATTATTATTTAATTGTTATTGAAAAACTAAATAATTACTCGATTACGATTACAAAAACACTCAAATCATCTAGTCGTTTTCAGAATATCAATGAACTATTTAATGAAACATTAATTCAATATCATCTTCTTCGTCGTATTAAATATTATCATTTACTATGTCAAATATATTCATTACAATTATCTTGTTTCTATGATGAAGTTCATATTTATTTATGTATGGATCAGAAATGGATGGGCTGCGGTGTCACACCGCCCCGCCCCTCCGGGGCGGTGACGGTGCGTTGCAAGATTTTATCTTTATATACAGGGTGGTCTATAAATAAAAATATAATGATAAGAAATTTAAATATCTCTACTTCAGTTCATTCAAATGAGCTCTTTTTTTGGTTGAGGGTATGAATTCTACTCAGCATTTTTTTTTCATTCGGATAATGTAAGTAAATTCTACTGTTAAGTATTTCAGTTGACGTCAAGAAAGCAACTTTACTAGTTGTCAAGTAAGAAAAACACACGAAATATTGTGTAGATGATTTTCAGTTGTCATTTGACAGAATTACTTGAAAATATTCAAATAAATCTTCTCAATGATACTATATGGATGTATATCGAAAGAAATTTCTCAACCAGTCAATTTGAAAGTTAGCAATTACAATATTTCGAATTTTCAGGCGTAGAACACCTATTTTTGCTGAAAACTTGTCGACTGGGTAGCCAAAGGTTTTCAGACACGAGTTTACAGCATTCAAAGTAGCTAGTTCAAAAAATTTTCTATATGTACATCAATTCTGTCAAATAACAACTGAAAATCATCTACACAATATTTCATGTGTTTTTCTTACTTGACAACTAGTAAAGCTGCTTTCTTCACGTCAACTGAAATACTTAACAGTAGAATTTACTTACATTATCCGAATGAAAAAAAAAATGAGTAGAGTTCTACCCTCAACCAAAAAATGAGCCCATTTGAATGAACAGAAGTAGAGATATTTAAATTTCTTATCGTCATGTTATTCTTCATAGGTCATCCTGTTTTTAAATTATGCCTTTTCATCTCAGGAAATATAATAGTAATTATGAAAAGCTACTGAAAATTTTATGAATAAATGACCTCTGAAAACAGATTTTAGACGTGGCGGGGCGGAGCGGTGGCGGTGTAACTTTTTGACTGTCCCGTCCATCTCTGGTATGAATTATGGTAAAGAACATCATGCAAATTGTTTCGAATTTAATCATACATTATTACGAGATTGTTCTGGTTAAAGTAATTATGAAAATGGAGCACAATGTTTACAAGATCGTAGAATTTGTCCAAAAACATCGGTATGCAGTTGTCTTCCTTGTACTCATCGAACTCGATGTCAATTTAATTCAGAAAGATTTTCTCTTTCACTCGATACCATTTTAGGTTATCATATTGGATCACATATCAATATTCTAAAACAATTACCAATTGTACAAATAAGTTTAGTTTTGACTATAATTATGACTCTAGCAGGTCTTCTTAATGATATTCTATCAGTGATTAAATTTAATAGTGAAGTATTAAGACAAACTGCATGTTATATCTATTTATTAAGTTCATCAATCAATACATCAATAATGATAATTGTATTTGCATTGAAATTTTTGATACTTATTATTGCTCAAATGACATACATTAAAAATCGATTGTTTCTTTATGTTCAATGTAGATCACTTGATTTTCTATTACGAATCGGTCTTAATATGGATCAATGGTTAAGTGTTTGTGTAGCTATTGAAAGAACAATTATTGTATTAAAAAGAACTCATTTTAATCGAAACAAGAGTAAACAATTGGCTAAATATATCATTCTAATACTACTGTTATTAACAATTAGTAAAGGTATGCATGATCCTTTTCACTGACGTTTAATTGACGATAGTGATGATGATGAGAAGAAACGTATTTGTCAATAAATCTCATTTCTTTGCTCTATTTCTCATTAATATGATTTCGGCTATTATTATCATTATAACAACTACTTGTCAAAGAAAAATTATTCAATATAATCAAAATTCTAGAAAAATTTTGCGCAAACAATTTAAACAGCATGAACATTTAATTTTTGTTCCAATAGCATTAGTTATTCTTGCAATACCACGTTTTATAATATCGTTAGTTTCAGGTTGTATGAAATCATCTCGTGATTCATGGTTATTTCTTACTCGATATTTCATCTATTTTATTGCACTATACTTACTTTTGCAGTGTTTGTTCTACCATCAGAAACATATATAAGAAATTCATCGATCAATATCGGCAGATACTACGAACACGTTTACATCTTGCACCATAAAACGGTTCGTAAAAAAAGGATTTTTCCGCAATGAAACTGAATAATTCTCTTCCAAAGAGTCAATGTTCATTATACCGAAATTAACTATTAATAATATCAAATGAATAGATTTCGAAATAGTGAATATAGTTCATTTTTATTTTTACTACATAAATGAGATGCTTAATGTGATTTAAAATTAAACATAAGATGAACAACTACTGATAAAAAAAAATTCATCGTTCAGTTTCAACGTTAAAAATATCAAAGTCACTCTATCTTAAACAATCTTGTTAAAGTAGCAACTTGTATTTCATATATTAATGACAATTTTTTGAATTGTTTTAGATTTACTAGCAATTGACTTCAACAAAAACAAATTCAACAATTATCATATTTATTCAATACAGAAATTTGATAAATGTTGTCTTGTATAACTATGCTTTTATATTTTATTTCTTTGTTTGATATGAATAACAAGAATGATTATTAGTCACATCGAAATACTGATTTGATAACATAAAAATAGATCAATACATAAATTACTGATATCTGCATTCAAAATGTTCTAATCAGAATTGAATAGTTTCCTCGAAGATACGAGATACTTTGTTCCGATTTTTTTGTATTCGCTGACTAAGAGACTCAAGATATTTCTCAGACGACTTGAGCCTATCGGATCCAAAATATTTGAACTTGAATTTAGTCAGACCCAGAATTAACTCGATGGACTCTACCGCATAGATAGCACACATTTGAATTCTAATTTATCAAGTTTTTACTTTCAAAAATTTTGAGATGCATTATATTGAAAACATACCCTGAACAAACAATTGACTCGAACTTGAAATTTGTCTGTCTTTTTTTTTTTAAATGGTAGAAATATCTATCCCTCTCAATGTTCTTATATAAGTGATAATGAAAGTATAGTGAAACCATATATTGACTTAATAAAACTTAACACTTTACTGTTTCGTCACTTAGAATTTATGATTTCTGACAATTCAAGAAGAGAAATAAAATTATTTGCATTGTTTATTAACAAACTCTTTTAATATGATAATGACACTTGTAATTTAATTTCGTTTTCTCATTGATCTTATCAAATTAATATGTGTGTTAAAAAGAATAATTTCGATGAAAACTTACTAAAATATATCTGATCTAATAATCATCCATATTAAAATACTACAATTAATTATGTTGTATCAGTGTGATAGAATAGATTTAAAAAAAGTCACAGAATCGATAAAAGTTGATATTTTGTTAATGGTCTCTCTCCACTTTTATATCAATGATTTTATTGTACATCTGTCACGTAATACTATGAATAATATAATATTACCTTGAACTTAGTAGAATTTATTCGTTTCCATTCTCATGCAAATATAACTTTTTTCTTTTTTTTTTTTTATGGTACTATTTTTATTTGACATAGGCATTTGTGAATCAGTACATGATTATTGCAGATGATAGAAAATGTATGTGCTGTTAATTGCTTTGTTCATAACAGGTATTCAAGCTCAAAATAAATGCTCATGTTTATGTTGTCTTGGTCAATATTGTCAGCCTTTGATGGTAGGTACTGTTAATGTACAAAATTGTTCAACAGAAACATGTTTATCACAATGTCGTTGTTCGTATCCACAATGTGCAGCAAATTATCCATACGGTCAAATACTTGCACAATGTTCATCGCCTGCTTATACTTTATTTAATTGTGAATGTAAATGTTGTAATACAGGTCTTTTTACATGTATACCAACATTCGTCGGTTATAGTACTTCATATTTATGCGACATAAGTTCATGTAGTATAGCATGTAGTATTCAGTATCCAATGCAATGTGTATCGAGTCAAAATGGACAAACACAAGGTTTATGTACGGGTCCTGTGACAACAACAACAACAAGTACACCAATGCCGCCTTGGTTAGGTAATATATGTTCATGTTCACATTGTCAACCAGGTTTTACTTGTTCACCAAATTTATTGGTCGGTATAACTTCAGCATCACAATGTTCTTCACCGGCTTGTACTCAAGCATGTCAAAATCGATATGTATCAACATGTTCACCAACTTATTTAAATCAAATTAGTGGTGTATGTTTAAGTGAAACCAATGGAAGAACAAAATGTAAATGTAATTGTTGTGGTGGATATGGTTGTATAGATTATGAACTTAATACAAATGAAACTTGTACAACATGTTATGCAAAATGTCTACAAGTATCACCTTGTACTAGTACGCTTCCAGTGACATATACATGTACTTTAAATAAGTCCATAATATTAACGAATTATTCTTTTTCAATTATTATTCTGACATTAATAATTGCTGTGATTCTTTTAAATTAATCATGAAAAATAAAATGAGTCATTTTATGATGGTGAAAACATTTTTTTCGTTCATTTTTAATAATAATTATGTTTTATTTTTAAATATTTTCAATTTAATCAGTGTGTGTATGTAAAGGAATTTCATTACATTCTTACTTCTTGATAACTAAAACTCAACTACTACGTATTGCATATATTGAAAGTAGAAAAATCGAGTATTTAGTTTAGAATTATTATCACTGATTTCTTGGAATTTTATTGAATAACAGAAGTGAACAAAAGAAAAAGAATATTTGCAGACTTCTAGAGAAAAACTTTCTCTCTCTCTCTCTCTATTATAGTGTATGTATTATCAAGTTCTATTACGTACTGTTAACGTGTTGATAGGTGGGTTGCATTTATCACATTTTACCATGTCCACGCCGAAGGTGGCACCTGTCATCAATATCTCAACAGTACGTCGTAGTACCTGATAATGCATACGCCATTAGATAGAAGATTTCTTTCTCTATAAGTCTAAACATATTCCATTCTGTTTTAGGTCGAATAGAACAATCTGTAAATGACTCAAAAACAGTTCGTAATTCTAGCTATCAGAAAACGTTTCAAAAGACGATGATCGTTTCGAGCAGTAATCACACCGTTTAAGATATTGTTTCAGACGGTCCAAATGATCGATCTGAGTTATTATCAGGTTTCGTTTCTTAGCAATTTACTTATAGCAAATTTTCATTTCTAATTCTCATATATCAATAATTACTAGTTTCTTTGATCGAATTTATTTCAATACTTTTGAAATCTACATTAAATTTCTTAATGATAAATATTATAGACGCAGAAATAAAACCAAATTTTCTAATATATCATCATTTTTGTCACATTCATTAATTATAAGAAATTTATTTGAGGCATGAAAAAAAAAAAATTATTTAAAAAACATGTACACGTAAAGACAAATAAAAAATATAACGTCGGTTTAGTCTTTCATTCATTCCATTTGATTTAATTCCTATTACCACCAGTACAACTATAACTGTTCTATTAATCATTTTAAATACAAAATGATTTGATTCTTTTTTGGCATTTGAAACTAAATAATAAATATCGAAGATAATAATTACACTTCTTCTACATGAGTTCCAGGAAATAAACCAATTTTTCCTTCTAAATTTCCTCTACACCATTGATCTCGTCGACGTTCAAGTAATATAATAATATCTCCTTTAAAAAATCAAAAAAATCAATAAAACGAAAAATGATTACAATTATTTAAACCTTTTCTAAGAGTTAGTTCGTCACTACGTTGTGCAACATAAGGATATACTGCTCGAACATGTTTAACTGGTTTTTGTTGATAAGATTCTGTTGATTGTGCCGTAAGATTTGGATAAGCTGCTCGATTTGTTCCCATTTGATTATCTGTATGAAAAAAGAAATCATTTATTTTATTTTAATATTTAAATCAATTCATGCACATTCCGTTTAAAATATATATGAAAAGCAATAAACATACAGAAAAATAAACTGATTATATTTCTATTTTCAACTTACATTTTAAATAAGGATCTAATTTTGTAAATTGAAAAGAAAAAAGCAAGCATGTGTTATAATATTAATAAATACACAAAAAATAAGTCAATATGTATTGAATCTTTTATTTTTGATTGTCATTATTTTTTTATAGCAATATTTTTTAACTACCTTATTAAAATAAATTCTGATTAAATATAAAAGAAGAAGAAAGAAAGTATAAATAATCTGTTTAAAGCAAATTTTTATTGTTAATTGATAATATATGAATTATTTTAGAAATTTTAAAATAACTTACAAGACATTTTATTAGATTGCAATATATATTGTCGAGGGACAATATTCTTTGCTATAATGGACAGTTAGTTAAAATAAATTTTTAAAATCTGTTTAATTTTTCAAAAAAAAAAACGATTTTGTTTAGCAGTCTGCCCTGAACTAGAATGTCATTAATGTAGCTTTATAGAGAAAATTGCAATGCATCGAATGGTATATAAGAAATAAGGCAGTGATTCATGGGTACGGGTGAAGGGAGATGGAAGTGGAGTGTTGACATTAAAGAGCTACAAGTCCATATTTTCGTAGGTTCGGGTTTGGAAAGAGTCGCAACTTTTTTAGTGAGGATCGATATAAGTGCTGATTTGGATCTTCTTCTCTTCGAGTCGGATCTGAAAATTTTCGACCTGACGAGCTCTAGCAGAGAATTGTGGTTTGCTTTTAGAATATTTCCTCTTGACGAACACAACCAAATGAAACTCTCAATGGTATAAATGAACGTTTGTTGAATAGTTTTCACATACGAAAATATGAATTCTGTTGAGTTGTTTTTATTTTCTACCTGATGATGTGGATTTCATATGAGTGTCATTAGCTATCAAAGCCATTGGTGGTGCTTGTCTTTGTGTAGCATATATCATTGGAGGTTGCTGCATAATTGGTTGAATAAACATTGGCATTACTTCAGCAAAATATTTTGTTGCTGATGGAGCTGATGGAGGTGTATCTATTGATGATCGAAGTGGAATGCGAATTAGTGTTGTTGGATCTCCCTAAATATTTATTCAATAAAAATTAAATTAAATTGAAATAAATTTTACAAACTTTATCATTATATGTTTTAGTAAAACAATTTTCATGTTCATATTGTTTTTCAGGCAGATTTTTTATACGATTATAAACTGATTCAATTTTATATAAACTTGCTTCATAAAGACATTGAAAAAGATGAGTCTTTAATAAAACAAAAAATTTTAATTTAAAGAAAAAAAATCATAATTCTTCTTACACTCGGTTGATCAATGAACATTTCACTTGAAAAACCTTCAAAATATCAATTAATTAAATAAATATTTAAAATAGTAATAGCAAGCAAAGTAAAAGTGCGTTCAAGCATCAATCTAATAGGTGTAATAAAGTACCTGCTGCCTTTTTCTTTCCTTGCTTTTTATCTTTTTCACGACGCATCGCACCATCATCATCGTTTGATGATGGTGATGAACCATCACGATAAGAAGCAGCACTTACTACAATATCAAATATAATCGAGCAGGTGAATTAAATTTAAATTACAAATTCATATATATACATATATATATATATAACGCATCAAAGCAAAATGTAAGATCGATAGAAATCACAAATACAATATAGATGATACCTGCTATCGAATGAGATTTTGTAGAACACATAGCTCCATCACTTGACGAATATCGATCATCGTCTGGTGATTCTTCCTCGACTGTTTTTTGAGGAGAAGCCAATGAAAGGGAAGATAGACTTGCTATAATAAAAATATTCTTTTTTTTCTCTCTCTCTCTCTCTCTCGTATTTCTGATTAAATGAGAAAGAATTTCATTCGTGGCAATAATTAGCAGAAATATTTGAAAAGAAAAAAATTTCTTACTAACCATTATTTGATCGTCGTTGTATGTCAACATCTTTTTTCAACATGTCTATCCAACGCATAAGGCTTAATATTCGTCGTTGTTCACCCATTGCTTGTTCATATTCAGCCTAGAAATAATTTATTTTAATTAAAGAATAAAAAAATATTATTTTCTTTTTAAACATACATATATATCATAAAGTAATATTTCGATTTCAGTTGTTTGTAAATTCGATCGAGCTTCAATAATAATATCTTCATTTGGTAAGACTTGAATGGAATTTAATTCGTGAGAAACCTTTAATGAAAAAATTCTTAAGTACAAAAGACTGAAGGGATATTTTCATTCTATTTATATTGAAGAGATTCATAATTTTGAAAAGAAATAAATTTTATCCGGTCTATTTAAGAATACCCCTTATCTTGTTTTTTGACCGTGTCTGGTTCTTGAAGATGATACAATCGATCGAGCATCAAAAATAAGGAGATATGCATTTAAGAAAAACTATCTTGAAGTAGTCTTTTGTTGTGATATATTGATTTTCCAAAGAACAGCATCTAGTATTCTGCATGGTTTCGCAATCAGACTCGAACCGAAGCTAATCGACATGTGGCAGATACTTTCACAATCACAGTAAAGTTTTCAAACTTTTATTTTATATGAAAAAGTATAATATTTAGTTTCTTCCATAAGCAGCAATAGAAAATTGAAGTCATTTCATATTCTAGAAAAAAAAATGAATCAAGTATTGGAATATAGTGCTGGTGTCAGACATCGTAATTGTAGATATTTAAATGAATGCTTTTTCCATCATGATAATACATGTTCACCTTTTTTCATAATTCATTTTTCTCTGCATGCATTCAGTTCCTCATTTATAGATGAAATTTCATTAAAAATAGATTCTTTTGATAAGTATAAATATCTTGAAACCTTAGGATCTCAATAATTGCCGGGTCAGGTATGAGACCATACTCGCGACGGGAACTGATCTCTCGGCAGCTTTGCATTCGACTCGATTGTAGGACACTAGTCATATACTGGTTGCTGACGACTCCCATCTAACGTTGTTCAATCGCGCTGAAATTGGTCGTTTTCTTTTTTGACTTTTCTATTCTGATTGATAGGACTCTGCAAGTCAAGACCTAAGTTTTGGTAGGGTATTTCCAAAAAAAAATATTCAGCACAATCCAATAATTCTTGAAGAGAATCGTAAGCAATCAAGATGCGATCCCTATAGAAAATCAAGGTTTCACAGTAAAAATTCACTTCAAAATTTTTTTCCTCACTCATATATCGCTTTATTTTTGTTGCACTATGTGTAGTAAAATTTCTGTAGATTTTCATTGAAAAAAATATTCTTATAAATAAATTAACCTGATTCGTAGTTTCAGCAAGTGTTCGAATTGCATTAGCATAGATATGAATATATTTATCCATTTCATTGATTCTTTCTAATTCCATTTTTTGCATTTGGTTGCAACCCTACAAGGCAATCTTACAATAATTATTTATTAAAAGGAATTCATTTAAATATTTACTCGACACAGTTCAGCAGCACATAATTGTCGTACTGATTCTACATTTCTTGTTGAATCATGATATTTTCTTTCTATTTTTTCTAAGTCTTCTTCAGCTCTTCGAATTGACATTTCCATCTATGTAATAGAAAAATTAATTAGATAAATACAAAATAAAAGCCATGAATATTAATATTAGTTTCAAGTTAACCAAATAAAATAAAAATAGTCTGTAGCAATTATTATATTAGTCAGAAAAATAATAGAGGCTTGTGTAAAAATCTTACATTCGCCTGATATTTGAAATCAGGAGTCGAAGTCGACTAACCCAAAACAAAAAAAAACACGAAAATAAAACAAAATATAAGTTATATAGGATTAACCAAAAGTAGTAGTGAAAGTACTTTAATTCTTCAGAAAAAGTTTAAAGCAACTTTCTGTCTATATGATTTGATAAGAGCTGTTTGTTATAACGTTCGATAAATGGATTCAATGAATGCAACGAATTGTGAATAGTCAAGAGTATTTGATGAAATATAGACTTATTTCTGTATTTCTGTTTTTTTTTCTGTTCTCCTGCCACCACTTTTTCTATATCCTACTATGTAAAGACTGTTAGATATTAGAGTAGATCAGGAAAAAAAAGCAAGAAGAAGAGGATACACATCACAGACAAAATGTGATTATTATATTATTGTCACATTATCACAACGAACAGCTCTTATCGAAATATATGAAGTTTTTTTTTTATAACGCATCAAAATACTTTCGTCACTATTTTTTGTATGCCCTAAGCAAAATATTTTCTAGAGCGCAAAGAATGAATCATTTTATATACATTAAAGTAAAAATACAAATGTAGCTCAGTAGTAACACTTAGACTGACAATATTTCCCATACACAAAAGAAATAATTGATAGCTTCTTTAAAATCAAAAAAGACAACCGAACATCAAAGAAACTCATGTGATTTTCATTGTAATAAAAAGCAAGATATTGAGTAGCAGAGCAACAAATATTATTGTATTTCTTTTTTCTTTTTCACACCTTTTCGGAAGCACTGGTATGACGTCCTGCAGGTAAAACACAGCTCATGACCAATGGTGTCGATACAGTATGTTCCTATATAGGATAAGATTTGTTTTAATAAATACTATAATTATCTCACCTTTGTTGGATCTCTGGCCATTTTTCTCGATGTCTTTGGTAATTCGCTTATTTTAAGATATAATGATTCAATTTCTCTAGATTTTTCAAATTGACGTGAACGATACTAAAATAAATGAAGAAAAAAAGAACTAATCATTCGTGTTTTTTTTTTTGTTACTTTATTATCAACATCTTTTGCATCATTCCATTCTTTAAATTTTCCATTCAGTGTATCTTCAATCTGAAAAATATCAAATCAAATCAAAAACAAACCAAGCGTTTTTTTCTCACTTACTAATTTTCTCTCTTTATATTGTGCTTCAGCAAGATTTTTCATCGGCATAGAAATCTCACTTAATAATATATTAGCAACAGCACTATGTGCATCACTTTCTTTACTTGTCTGTGCAGCAAGAATTGTAAATGCTGTTGACAGTGTTCTATGTAAAAGTATATATTTTTTTTAGAGAAAACTAAAAATTTTTTTCTATGAAAGTTTTTCCTACCCTTTGGCTCGACCAGCAAGTTTTTGTAATGTATCACCGTTCTTTCGAAGAGCTCTGACATAAGCTGTTTCAGCGTCACTTCTAAATTAAGATTATTTAAATTTAAAAAAAATATTTAAAAGATTATGTTGATTTTTTCTTACCGTTCTTGTAAACATTTAGCAATTTCTGTAGAAAATTCGTTCCCACTTCTCATTAGTTTTTTTAAGGTCTCATAACCTTTTTCACCCTAGAATAAAATATAAAGTTTATCGAAAAAGAATAGTGAGAAATTTACCACAAAACACTGACGAAACTCTTCTGTCATTTGATTAATCGACTATCTAGAAAGAACATAAATTCTGTGCATTATATATAGATTAACAACAATGTTATTCATATTTCTTTGTTAGCATTACGCACATGATTCATATATAGCCTGCCTTTCTATTTGAATAGAACTTCCGTCGTTCTGTGTGGGCGTTTATTTGTCGCATTGGCTCTAGAACCTCTGACGACAATGATAGAAAAAAGAAAAGAAAAAGAACGAGTTCCTTTTTCTCTCTGAGAAGAAGTCATGGAAACATCAACCTAAATTTGTTTGTCTTGAAAAATTTATCTTACTTTATAATGAAAATCGAAAAAAAAAACTACACTGGTATTTTTTCTATGATACCGTTATTAAATAATCAACGAGGTCTGATCTAAATCATTATCTTTCTCTTTCTTTTCTTGCTGCTTACCTGCAAATGTGAAAGGAAGAAATGAAAAAAAAAAGGCATTACGATCGAATACTTATCGGCAAGTCAACACAAACGCACATACACCCTCATACTGGAATAGTAGCGCATAGAATAAGAGAAATGTTCGGTAGGAACAGAATGAGGAGAAATCGGCAAGTTAATTTACATACTGAAATTGATCCAATGATAGAACGCCGATTCGTTTATTATTGCTCTGACCGACACAAAAAACAAAACAATTTATGTTACTCATATATCCTCTTCGAAAAGAAAAGAAATTTAAAAAAAAAAGGTGAATTTAAACAAATGTCATATGAGTAGAAAGAATAAATAAAAATAAATTACAGATGATATTTCACGATGTCTATCAAATCGAATGACATAGAAATAAATTCTATTTTTTAATTTTGAAGAAAAATTCTTACATCAGTTTATATCAATTTTACGTAAGACAAACATTTTAATATTATAATTAAATTTATGCTATTTTGATTATTTGCAGAATGTTATCGGATGTCAATTCCATGGTATTAAATTATTTGTTCAATGACTCGTTTTGTCTACTAACCATTCATAAATGAAGTCCCCTGGGATGTCGCTAATTGCTGGCCTTTGATCTTTATGCAATACACATGAGTTAATATCAGAAATGAAACTTTTATTTTCACTTGTTACATTAAAAAATTTTTCTCTCATATTAAGTAATATTGTGTCATTTATTTACTGATAGATTACTTATCAAGGAATAGGCAAATTATTTTTCGATTCAAAATAATATAAAATGAAATATATTTGACAAAATATATGACGTCATTTATGAAAATAAATCAGGTTGAATACATCAGAATCACTTCCTTCTTTCAATTGAAATAGAGATTAGTTAAAAATCCATGAAAAAAAAACACATCGAATTCTATCAAAAACATACCTAATATAACTTATATAAAGTTTTCAAATCGAATTTCTAAATATGTTTTCTTTTAATTTTTAATTACAAAAACAAGAGTATTTTTCTGAAGATTGGTTTTTACTTTTTAAAACAAACATATACTTCACTAAATGGCATATTTGTTTATGCCTGATAGGAAAAAAATTTCCATCAGAATTCAAAATTCTTACTAAGAATACAACGATTTGTCATATACATTGAGTGTAATTTTCACGAAAGACTTTTCTCAATTAGTGATCGACATAATCAGATTTTTTGATTAGCTATGAGAATGTATTGAAGAGAAAGAGAAGATAACAAAACTCGTCTGATATAGAATAACAAAATTTATCTAATCAAGCGAACAATAGACAACTCCGAAGATGTTGTCAAAGATAAATCTAATATGAATAATTTCTAATAATGATATTTCTGTTAACATCTCGAAATAAAACGAGAAGAATAATACATATCATTTATTGCATAGAAAAACAGTTCCTGATACTCGATATATGGAAAGAAAAAAAAAAAGACGTCATTTGTATTTTGGAACAACTAACCAGTTAACAGAAATATAGGACATGTGACTATATTGAGATTATCGTGGACGTCAAGCTGACTCGTATTCTTGATTTGTATTATATCACAAAAGATCTTCATCTATTGCGCGTAATAGATCACAATTTAGTAAAAAGAATGAATACACCATGAAATCAATGTTTTGCAAGTGAAGCTCTAGTAGTTCTCTTGTCAATTAATCATTTCAAGTATTAATCGCATGAAATAATAATGTAAAAAAACAACCCTCGTTTCTATACTTTGGCATTGATTGCATTTACAGAGTTTCATAGACGATGTAGGAATAAGAATAATATTTTTTTTTCATTTTTTTTGACGTTAAACTTGAAAAGAATCTGATCGTGTTACATCAAAAAAAAACTGTCGGCTATGAAGCCAATAAAACTGTATTGATATCATGTTTACACAACTTTGTAATATTCAATTCTAATAACATCATAATATTTGATAATATAGAAGAAGAATACTTTGATCATCACTTATAATTATTCTTTGCATTAGAACTCTGACGTAAAAATATTTTCTTAGAAGCTCTACGTTTCACAAAATTCGTTTAAAAAGATTTTTTGTTCTATGGTAAAGTTTTATAAACTCTATAATTTAAACAACCGAAAAGAATAAAAAAAATAATGAGTACATTCCTTAACTAACTAGTTCGCTACATTTCATATTATAATGTATATTTACTATATAGTTTATGAATGTGTACTGTGTTCTACTACTTATTCTTACTTCTTTTTAGTGGTGTTAGAACTTTTTGAGATAATTTAATAAAAGATGATAGTTTGACACGCTCTAATCGCCGAACTGTTCTTCTATGATATATTTATTGTATATATAAATAGGAAATTTCCCTTCATCAAATTCATTACTTGTACTAGTCGTAGATGTTTTCTTATTATTAAATAAACAATGTACAGTGTCAGTTGCTATTTAAACCGAAGGCCATTGTGAGGATGAAAGCGTGAATAACGTAGTGAGAATAGATGTTGTAATATATCTTGATAAAAAATGTCTGCAGAAAGAAATGAATAAACTCTTACGACAAGTATTGTTATCTTAGATTGTTTTTTTTACATTATCACATTACTGAATTCTTATGGCATCTCTCTTTATATATTTGTTTTGACAGAAAAAGAAACTGTCGAAGCTTAGGCAATACAACTGCTACAAACCGATAAATATTAATCTAAGTAGCGGAATGAAGAGATGTATCAACATATCATTAATATCACCACATAATCGATCCATTACTCTTGAATTTGCTGCCCATATAATCGTCATCTACATCTTAACAACATCTTAATCCATAACTTCTTCTAGAAAATTTGAGAAGAAAAAAAAATTCTTTCTATTTGTCAAGGATTGATTAACACGACTCATTGTGTTGGTATGTTGATAAATTTAACTCACAAAACCTGAATTGATTGTCTTTTGATATCATCACACTACTGTTTTTAGGGCAGTTATTTATCTCTACTGATATCAAATCATTATTTCCTAGGTAAATATTGCCTATAGAATGTATGCACATCTTTGATATTTTTTTTCTAGTTGCATATTATGATTCAGATTAAATACCACACTTTTTTCTATCATACAATTTCTCATTGATCGATTTGGACAATGTTTTTTTCTTCTAATGTTATTAGTCTCGAAGTACGTCACACCAACACCCTTTATAGAGATATTTACTCAGAAAAAAAACAAAAGATAATGAGTAGTCTATAGTGCACAGCTTGAAGCAGAAATGGAACCGACACCGATTATTACCGGTGCGCTTAATTTATTTATTTTCTCTAATTATCTCATAGAGGATGTTTAATGAAGCTTTGCTGCAATTTGACTACGTTAAGTGTCAATATCCACAGATGGAATAGTGCGACAACTAATCTTTATTTCTCTCTCTCATTTTATGCCCCTTCGTCCGAAATAGGGTGTGTGTGGGAAATTGATCAAAGAAACTTATTCAAAGGGAACTTTGTTTTTTCGGTAAAAAAAAGTGATCTTTTTCTAGAATTATAAGTTTTACTAGCTTTGCAGAACGATACTTTTCATGTATTCGTTTCATTGTGGAAAGTCCCTTCACTTTAGTTTCGAACATAGAGTTTGAATAGTTCAATACCGCCTGTAGTAACACGTTTATAGTGTAATATTTCAAGGAACAATCAGTCAAAATGAATCCCGTTTTATATCATTAAACGATTTCAGCTCGCTGAAATCGGTCTTCCTATTAAATAACGTTTCTAAAGACATGGAGCATGGTAAAATCTACTACTCAGAAGTTACTTAGGTCTACTTACAATTTTTTTCACCAATTGTATCAAAAAATTGTAATTCACTTTTATTCTCAAGTGATTCATACCAATGATCAGATCATTTAAAAGGTAACTATAGGAATGGCTGCAAGATAGCTAAAGAAAGTAAGAGATATACAATTATTATTTATAGTAACATAGATAATAGTCATATGGATGACATAAGTTGCATAGTTTAGATGAGTTCAGATAGATCATGAAAGGATTTTATTCGCTATTCTACCTTCATTAATATAACATAAAAATATAATCCATTCAATAGCTAAAGACCAAGCCGAACGAGAAAATACTTCATAAGCAATAATCGATGCTCGATTGAGACTAGCTGCTAAAACATAATCACCGTACATTGACAACGTATAAACCAATAGACTTAATGCTATCAGAGGACTTTCAATTATTTTAACTTTTCTATGAACACAATATGTATGACGTGTATTGATTAGTTACCATAGAACCAGTAAGAAGTCCTATGGCATAAGATGAAATTCGACGCCATGGGGTAACATAGATAACATTAAAATAGGTCTGACCATTCTATTAAAGCAAGAAAAACAAACAATATTAAAAACAGAAAATTTTCAACTTGCAACTTACAACATTTGCAGATGGTTCAAGAGCATTACGCATCATATTTGGATTATAATTAGAATAATAGAGAAGACCTAAAGTCGACCTCATACCAATAAAAACATACATAATAGCAAGAATATATGCTATCTTTTTTCGTCTTTGTACAAATGGGACAAGTGTGAGTGGAGCAATCCAATGAAATTGCATATCATTGAAAAGATACCATGAAATGCCCGCACATCCCAATATAAAAAAAGCTGTCCATCAATAATGATGACGACATCCTACTGAGACTTAAAATAGAAATAGCCTTAAATTTCATTATAATTTTCTTTTTTATTTAATAAAAAAAAATATAATAAATAAATTAATATAATATTTTAGTAATATATTTTAGTCGACGTTTCGACAGTTAATCTGTCATTTTCAAGACCAGATGTTAAGTGACTCATGACAAAGAAATATAGAAGAAAGAGAAAAGTGATCATCTGTAGTATCTCCAATCAGAAATCCTACAGATACCACTACCATGGACGAAAACAGTGTTATGAGCGCTCATAACACTGATTCTCCCCCCTTTGGTAGTGCATCTATCGTTGATTTAATCTTGACTTTAGGTTTATTTGTTAATCCTTCAGGATATATTATTAGTGGTACTGAACAAACTGTTTTATTTAGAGTAGGTTCGCTTTTACAAATTAACAAAGATTCTTTTACTAACAATCGGTAATGTTTATTGTCTTTAGCAATGATATTAAAATTTTCCCAGTCTATTTTGTGATTATTATTAATTTCATGTTGTTTAACTGCTGAGTGTGTTAGATTATTTTGTTGAAAATCAATTGATTCATTTTGTATCTTTGGAAAATATTGTACAATTTTTCCTTTATTTCTGTCCGATCGTCTAAGATTATTGGAATTATCAATTTTATCGAGAGATTGAGATTTATTTTCTTTTTCTTTTACGAAATTCGCTCCATGTTCTTGAAGTCTTCTATAGGTTTGTCGAATTGTTTTGCCTATATAGGAAGATTCACAATTAGAACAATCTAACTTATAAACGATATTTGATCTAAGCAGTTTAGGTATTGGATCTTTAGTTGGAAAATATTTAGATATAGATGAAGATGGTCGTTGAATTGGTTGAATGTGTATTTGTGGATTTATGGATTTTGCCAAGTTAATTAATCGTTTCCCTAAGATTACTGTTGGTTTGCCAAAGAAAGGAATATCAATGAAGACCTGTTCTCTTTTTATAGAGTTATCTTTATCGTTGTTTGTTTTATTTTTTGATTTATATATTTGGGTTCCATTGATCTTGTCAAAATATCTACCTAGTGTTTTCCTGATCTGTGCTTTTATAAATCCTTCTGGATAACCATTTTCAATACCAATAAATTCTATAAATTCAAACTGTTCATGCATTAAATCATAGGACGAACATATCCTTATTGCTCTGTAAACCATGCTGCTTATGGTACTAACTTTATATGTATGAGGAACGAAAGAACTCCATTTGGTTATCAAACCAGTATATGTTGGTTTTCTATATATGGTAGTGGCAAATGATTTAGAAGAATTTTGTGTACTATTCTTAGTAGACGAAATAGTTGGCAAATTAATTAAATTGTTAATTGAATTAATAGTTGAAGCAACATTTGAAATATTAACTGATTTAGTACTTAGATTATTTGTGGAATTATTAAATACTATATTGTTTGAATTGACAGTAGAACTATTCAATGATTTATTATTTGAACTAATTGTTAAATTAACAGCTGTTTTATTATTTAAATTATTAATGAAGTTTTTTATTGTGTTATTAGATAATTTATTATTTGGGTTATAAAAAGATTTATAATTTAAAATATTAGATGATTTATTATTTGAACTAATTGTTGAATTATTAGATGATTTATTATTTAAATTATTAGTAGAGTTATTTATTGAGTTATTAGATGATTTATTACTTGAATTATAAGATGATTTGTAATTTAGAATATTCGACGATCTATTATTTGAACTAATTGTTGAATTATTAAATGATTTATTATTTAGATTATTATTTAAACTATTGGATAAATTATTAGTTGAAATATTATTAGTTGAACTATTATTAGTTGAATTATTAGATAGAATATTATTTAAATTATTTGTTGGAATGTTGGTTGGTAGTCGTGTAATATATATGTCAAGAAAAGGTAAGGAGTTATTAACTTCTTCTTCACATGTGAAAACAATACAATTATCAAAACTGTTGAGTATATCAATTATCTTATTTATATCAGCATCTTTTTTTATAATAGCAAACGTATCATCTACGAAACGTCTCAAGTACAACAAGCCATTATTTTTTAAACGTGACATTAATTTACTCTCGAGATAATTGACATATATATCAGCAAACACGGGTCCAAGTGGGGAACCCATTGCAACTCCATTGATTTGTGAGTATATCTTGTTATTAAAGATAAAATTTGTATCTTCTGTTGAAGTATCTAATAAATATTTCATTTCAAATCTGTTTTTACATTTTTGACACCAATCATCTCGTTTCTTATCACTATATGTACAGGTATGTTCTGGTCCATACAGTTTATCAAGAATTATTTGTATAGTGCGCTGTAATGGAACATTAGTGAATAAGCTGGTGATATCGAAAGAAACCATTTTTATCTGAGAGTTATCAAATTCTAATGCAAGTAGTTCTTCTACGAAAGCAAAAGTATTAGTTATGATTGTGTCATTTTTTCTTAGATGGTCTAGTTTACTAGCCAATAGTTTGGCTAGATTGTAATTAAATGTACCTGAAGCTGAAACGATAGGTCGAAGTGGTACACCAATTTTATGAATTTTTGGTAAGCCATATATTCTAGCAGGCTGAGAGCCAGTTGGGCGACAAAAATTATATTCTTTTTCAGTTATAAAACCATTATTTTTTAAATGTTTTAGTTTACGTATTAATCTATCTTCGTGTGACATTGTTTCATTGAATTTCAAAATTTTAAATGTCTTATGATCACTTAATATTTCAAGCATCTTCTTATTATAATCTTCTTTATCCATAATTACTATTCCCTTTCCTTTATCAGGTTTTGTTATTTGTATTGATTTATCATTAGATAGACTTTTTAAAACTTTATCAAATTGAACAAAATCTTGTTTATGCTTATTAATTATCTTCTCAGTATTGAAACGAAAATTATTACAAATAGATCTGATTTTACTAGCAAATTGTAATTGAACGGGTGTTAAATTATATGTTATTGGTTCATCAATATCTTTTTCTTCGTAATCTTTTTTTTCCGTACAATGACCCAATAAATTAACAAAACAAGTTTCAATGTTACTTATGAATGTCATTTCATCGAATTCTTTATCAGGTAAAACAAAATTTAACCCATTTTCCAAAATATTAATCTCTTTATCTGTCAGATTTCTTTTAGATAGGTTTGTAATAGGTGAAATAATAGATTTATGTGAAAAAATTCGAGGATGTTGTTTACTTCTCAATTTATTTAGTTTTTTTAAATGAGTTTTTTTGATTTTTGTTTCTTTCCATACTACCATCTTTTTTATAATTATCTCAACTCTACAAATGATTAAATGGTTTAAGTCAAGATTAATCAACGATTTAAAATTTCTGTTAATTCGATACAAACGAGATAACTCACTCTTTTTCCATTTTAATTCATCCAAGATCATCTGTTCGTAACAATTATCAATCGCCCGTCGATGATGTTGATGCGTCGATGGGATTTTAAATTGTACGAAGTTTGGAATTAATTTTTCTCGTTTGCAAGTTCTTAAAAAATCCAAATCCAGCCTAGTCTTAGACATCATCAGCTGGTACTTGCCGTATTGAAATACGTTTTTTGCAATAAAAGACCCATATTGCTGCCTTATTAAGTGAATATAATTTGACTTTTTCATGGGTAACAATTTGATTAGGAATTTAATAACAATTACAGCAGCTTTAAATTTCATTATAATTTTCTTTTTTATTTAATAAAAAAAATATAATAAATAAATTAATATAATATTTTAGTAATATATTTTAGTCGACGTTTCGACAGTTAATGTGTCAGGGTGTGGGTGTGGTTGTGGGTGTGGGTGTGGGTGTGGGTGGGGGNAGCAGCTTTAAATTTCATTATAATTTTATTTTTTATTAAATAAAAAAGAAAATTATAATGAAATTTAAAGCTGCTGTAATTGTTATTAAATTCCTAATCAAATTGTTACCCATGAAAAAGTCAAATTATAGAAATAGCCCCTACTGAGAATAGTTTTTGGTGAAAGTTTCAGATCTTTTGGTTTGTTTCTATCCTGAAATGAGAACATCAAATCTTCTGGTCTATCCGAATGAAGTTACCGTAGTTGTATCTACGGATAGGGACAACCAGAAGATCTGACACTTTCTCAAAAAACTGCTCTCGACAGGGCCTGTTCCTATGCTATGTTTCAAGTCGAAATTTGAAAATCGCTTTTTTTGGTGTTCCTGACGGGAACCACCGCATTCATTTGAAAACTTGCTGTAAATGTGCAGTATCTCCATAGCAATAAGCTGGCCGTCCGAACGTTTTTCAAAGTATTCATAGCTCATTTGCACCTACATAATGTGCATGGTCCCAATGCAAAAGCGATTGAACAGTTGGTGACCTTCCCTCGTTAGTAATTAAACCTTGGATTTATTCTTTCTAGAATTTTCCTTTCAAGATTAGTTATCTGAGACAATGCAGAGTTAAAGCTACCTGATGAGACCCTTGAGAAAGGTCGAAAGTAATCGTAGCTTTCTTTTTCATGATACACGTGTCGTGGTAGGCGGATTCTCACACACCCACACCCTTTGGTATCATGGTAGCTACACAAACCCGTCAAACGGGGCTTCTACTCAAACTTTCATGAGTAGAAAATGATATTTTGTATACTGGTTCAAAATTTTCATAGATTGTGTATCTTTTTCTGTATTAGTATCCAGTGCCATTTGATAAGATTATTTCAGTAAAATCAAAATATCTTTGGTATCGTGATAGCTATACACATCCAGACTTCAATCTTTTGAATCGAATTAGAGATAAAAGGCATCTGATGAGATCCATAGAGTGAACTAAATACCTGTCATGATAGCTAGTCTCACCATCGCCCGCACTCTTAGATTGACTATGTGAGCAGCAGTCGAAATATGTCATGTCATGCTTTGAATTTAGCATCTTACCTTCTCTGTATCCTAGATCCTTCGAACACCCCCTACAAATCTCGAGCGCCTTCCAATCCACTTCAAATCACTAAAAGTATGACCCCCCTCGAAATCAAATTTTAGGACTTTTTCATACGCTTTAATGACTTTGAAAATCTTGTGATTAGTACATTCCTACTAAAACGAAATAATACCTTCCAAGACTTCTTATATGTGCCAGCTTATATGCTCAAGCCATCAAATCAATTTTTTTAGCCGAGACGAAATCATGATAACAGTAGCTAGACACACCCTCGGCTCGCACCAAGAACACTTTTTGTTTTCGAATCTTCTTCAATAAAACTATTCAGTTTGTTCTTTAAGTATATTTTAAAACGATAAGCTCAAAAGATAGAAATCTAACATGTCTGTAGTAATATGTTTACACTGTCAGTTCCGTTATTTCCGACACTTAAATCTAGCTTCTTGTNATCAAGTTCTTCCATGTCTAAATGTTGACTACGATAGACTGTTAAATGATGATCGATAATAGAAGAATGATTGTCTAAATATTGATGATAAAGTTGTTCAGTTTGATTATGAAGATCATTGATGAAAAATCGAAATTTAAATATAATTTCAATATTTTGTGCTCGTAAAGCTTTGTTCAATAATCGATATACAAAACTACCATTTATATACCACTCTAACGCTTTTATTGGAGAATAATTTTCTTCAAAATCATTTATTTTCATTTGTTCGGCTGCATTACTATCATAAATAGTTCGACATTCAGCAATCATTTCATCTTTTGAACTATCGTATTTTGCCATTAATCGAAGAACTTTCAATATTAACTGATACCACATAAATGTTACACTTTCTTTAGATAACTGTTCTAGTGTATTTTCTTTTTCCGCAAGATGAAACATACTCATTGATAAATCACCATTTTTATCATGCACTTTAACATCATCACAAATTTTATGTATAAGTGCCTGTGTCTTGATGAATATGCCAGAGATTTTTGAATATGGCATGGTCCATGCTTCAATTTTTTCTTGATCACCATAATATATGTATATTGATTGTATATATGGAAATTCATGTATAAGTGGTATAACATGCTTACCAAATGTATTAGAAATAATAAGAAATATTCGTTTTAATGGTTCGTCAGTTATATTATCAATACATTGATCTGGATCATCAAACGTTAGTAAGCGAACTCTAATCAGCCGTTGTAAAAGAACTTTTGTATTTTGATGATTTTTGTTCGTTTCAATAGTACTATCTAACCAGACGAGAACGAAGTCGTTTGTTAAATTGTTGATGTTTTCAATTGCCATATTTTTATGTGTGTATAATTACAAAAATAAACTTACTTTGATTACTTTATCTTCTCGTCTATTATTCAGATGCGTTTTTTTTTCAATTCGCATATGTGAGTGTATGCGCTGTTCTTCTTTCTTCAGGCGCCTATTTCTCATGGTTTTTTCCAATTTAATTTGTATTTTTTCTTATGTTCTCCTTTTGCTTGGTATTTTCCAATCTTACTCATATTTTTGTCCATTAATAGAGCTTTACTCTTTTCGTGCTTGAAAATTTCTAAATTCTAGATGTATTCAAACGAAAACATATCTCCATATCTAATAGTTCCAATTTATAGTATATAACGCAATTGATTCATTTTCTTTCTTATTGAACTTTTCGATAATGGAAAAAGTATAAGAACTTAACTAACGTTTTGTTTACTAAAGAGACAGTTGTTATTGAATATCTGCCAATATTGAGTGACAGTTTTCGAATGATGGCACTTCATTATGTGCTATCAGCAATTTCGAAAAACTGAGAAATAGGCGCTCCTAAGTTATTATAGTACCTTGGAGGGAGAAGAATTGACGGTTAATTCCTTCACAGTTCTATCATTCATAAAAACCAAAATTGCTTCTTTTTCTGCAATAACTTTCATAATCATAAATTTACGTTCACAAATACTGAGATGAAAATGAGTTTAAGAGCAAAAAAAATTGTCAGGGATTTTGTTTTTTTTCGATTTTCCTCGTCATGAAATCAAGGAATCATAATCTTCGTTGTTAATTTTCTCCAAACTTGTGCTTGCAAAAAATGTTTCATTTTTACCAACAGAGAGAGAGAGAAAGAGAACTTCAAACTTAATAAAATGCTCCAATTGATAAGAGCTGATTTATTTTCTATCCGATTTACAAAGTTGAGATATTCTCATTTACACGAAAAGACGTTGAAAATTGATAATTAGATATAATTGATGGACAGCTTCTAAAATAATAAATCTCTACCCTAAATGTTATTGTTTCAAAAATTAACACGAAATTCTCTATGATTTAGCATCAAAATGAAAAATTCTAATCTATACTGGTCCACCAGTATTACTGGTCACCAGTATACTGGTACTGGTGCATCCCTAATGACTACGGTCTTGAAATTATGAAGAAAAACTTTATTAGAGCAGAGTATTCACTGAAAAAATTTCAAGGTAAATGATGAAAATTAATCGAAAATGTAAGTCAACTTTCATGTAGAGATTACCTAAAGAATTCTATTGTTGAAGAACTTATTTCAACTAGTTACGTATTAAAAGAAGGCAAACAATTGAAGTCATCAATTATATAGAATTTCAAAAACTGATAATCATCATTTTGATTGTTAAATAAATGTTTATTTATTCGAAGTAAAATCTATAAAATTAGTTTAAAACTCTACATACATAAAATGAAAAAAATATATTTTTTAGAATATCCATTCTCTGTTCAACAAAATAAATATTTCATCGATAAAAATATATTAGAAAGATAAGTCTAATTGAATGAAAAAGACAAAACGAATAAAAATAAAGTCACATCAATGTTAAGTCAGTCTGATTTTTATTTCTTTCTCATTATCTTCTTTTTCTTCATCTTTCGAAGAGCCACTTAAGAGATATGCACCAACAGCAAGTGCAACTGCCATGCATACCCCAGCCGCAATTGATCCTCCAACTGCTACTTGTACCTCAAATAATAAATTAAGATTATTTTTTTTGGTTTGAATTTCTATACTAAATGAATATTCATACTTGACGAGAACTTGCTTGACCATAACGACAATCAGTAGCAAAATGTTCACAATTGCTATATAATACATTATAACCTTCTTGATCAGTAGCACTATGAGCTTTTTCAAGAATAATTGTCACATGTAATGGTCTAAAATAGAAGACAAAAAAATTTCTAAATTGTTTTTTTGTATAAAATTTGTTAAATAAAAACTACTAACAACTACAGTAATAATTGACATTTAAAAAAAGTATCATTTTAACTTTGCTAAATAATACCTAAAATTTATTCACTCTTGTTTAATATTAATCAAGAATTCCAATTAATAGTTAATTCATCAAATATGGTTGAGATACTTATTATGAGTTAATAAGCAAAATAATTTAATTTTTGTGTAGATTATGTTGGTTTCTTAACGTACGATAATGGGATCATACTCCTATGTAATATCAAACACAATTTAGCTAACCATCATAGCTATTTGAATATACTCAAATGATTAACTTTTTAATGTAAAGCACTATTTATAGTAATGTCTTGCAATCGAGTCGAATAATCGATACTTGATCCGGCAAATGATAAGATCTTGCTATTATTGTTGCTGTTTATAGAAGAAACTAAATAGTATACTTTTTCATATAAAATAAAACTTTGAAAACAGTACTGTAACTGTGAAAGTATCTACCGGATGTCAATTAATTTCAGTCCGGATCCGATTGCGACAAACCGTATTCGTGCAGGATATTAATTTAAAGATGTTCCATACTACATAGTTAATAAATATTCGTAGCTATTCTATTTCTATGAATAATTTTGGACGATTTCGTTTTTTTTTGCTTGATCTGAATAATTCTTAGAAGTCAAACTAACTCGATTTTTGTTCAAAACGATAATAATAATGAAAATTATGTTGCGAAAAGAAAAATATTTAACTTAACGATTTGTTATAAAATATTCTACCAAAAACGTTCTTTTTATATCATGCACATATCTGAATAATCACAAAATAAGCAATGCAATCGTTTTTGCGTACTCAAAAAGTGAGTACACTCTAGAATCGGTCAGTGTGTCCGGCCGTCCGTTTACACGATAACTGTTCACAATTACATTCGATTGAGCTGAAATTTTGTTCACAGAATTGTCTCATCAATATCTCGGTCGAGTTCGAAGATGAGAAGGATCCGTCACGAAATGGCTGAGTTATTGAAAAAATTGTCATTATTGACCAGACCATCCCTGAAGGGGAGTACAGGGATTTTTTCAAAAAAAATATTTTTCTCAGAATTATTCACAACATATATAAATCGACTCAGTTTTTAACGCTGATTCCGAATCTAATATTAGTTTTATACCAAATCGTAGCTTTCTAAGAAAACATCCCCTGAAAAAGGTCTCAAAATGCACAAAAACTGCGTCCAGAAAGCAAATTGCCTAGATATGTCTCAGATGATAAAAAACAAAGTGAATATACCTTTTCACTTTTTGAAGTACACATAACACTCGGATTTAAATCCGAGGTTTTCGCATTTATTTTTTTTTCGTGTCAGAGAAAGTCGAAAAAGATTGTATTCGCTACTCGACACTTAATAACTTAAGATAATTAAAAATTTACGCTGAAAATATTTAAATAGTGATTATTTTTTGAACACTTAAAATGAACATCTAAAATATCTTATTGTAAAAAAAAAAAAAAGAGAAGTTAATAATTATTTGTTTAAGATAATAAATTTTCATTCGAAAGATAAAATTTCTCTTTTTTTTCTTTCTATAATTTGTCTTATATACGAGAAGTTTACAAAATTATCATGTAAATCTATTTTTTTGACTAATGACATACTTCCATTTTGAATCAAGATAATTATTAACACGAACTTTGCCACCATATTTCAATACATCAGATATATTTGATTTTATTATTTTAGCTTTGTTAAATTGTACACCAAATATAGTTGTTACATTTCCCCATATACCAATTGATTGTCCAATACCATCATCCTCACCCCATCGATGAATAACCTCATTATCACCTAAATCAATTCTATATCAACAAAAAAAAAAAAAAAGAATTACATTTGATTTACCAATATAAATTGCCCAATGACTATAAATATTTCGAACAAATTCTATCATATCTCCTGGTTGTGCTTTTTCAAGAAGATCTTGATTTGTTTTTCAATTTTGTACGTCCGCTATTTGAGACATAATTAATCACGTATAAATCTAAAATAAATATACAAAAACAACATGTATTCTTCTTTTTCTAATCTATAAATAAAGTTAATTTGGAAAAAAAAGATTATTTTTACTTTTGTAATGTGAGTCATTTAAATTTCTATGAGAAGCTAATGATGATATAATCGTCATGTGATTGCAATCTGTCCAAGTTATTATGTTTTTCTTTTTTTTTGGCAGTTATTGACATGCGATAGATGCCGACAATTTCATACTTTCTTCTATTTTTTTTTTGGAGAATAAACAAAGCATTGTTAATGTTCTATCTTGTCCTATTCCATAATTATCAGTATAAAAAACTAAAAGACAATAATGACAGTGTCAATTAATATTTTCTTTTTCATTTTTTTCTCTTCTTCTAGATCTATCAGCAGCAACAGTAATGAATGATAGACCATTCAAAGATGGCATAACATTCCAATAGTACAAAAAAAAAAAAAAAACATGAAGAACAAAACAGAAAGAAGAGAGAGAGAGAAAACAAAAAAAGAATTACACAAAGAAATAAAACACACACACACACACACATGCATACACATATGAAATTGACTTGCGTACCATCGATTACTCTATTCTCTTTCCATAATTTCTTTTTTCTGATCGAGAACCAGCTCGATTATTACTGACATATATTGCCTATCTATAACCACAAATAATACAACTGTATCGTCATCATCATCAGCATTATTATTATTATTCTTATAATAATCTTAATAGAAAAACGAAAATATAAGTCAAAATATTGACAATAATAGTTGACCAAATTGATGATATAATAGATATAGCTGATGCAGAAATAAATGTATTATTTGTATAATTGAATATTGAATTATTGATAGATAAAGGTAATAATAATTCTTTAGATGGAGAAGGCGGCAAAAGTTTGATTTCAAAACATGGCAATTTAGTCACATGATCTTTGTTAGTTTTTGTCAATGAAGATTTATTTGATGACGACGAGTCGGAATGAAGTTGAAATGAACCATCAGCTAGATGACATGTATCAAAACAATGTGGTGGTTGGCCATAATCACTGTTTGGTACAATATCTCCTATATAGATATAAATCAAAATATTTATTTCAATCTCATCATTAAATGTTAAACTTTCTATTCGTTATTTTTTTAATATTAACGATAATCTAGAACATTTATCTTCTTTTTTTTTGTTTTTATCTTATCATTGAAATATTGTGTTTTATGATTTTGTTATCTTTTCAATGCTCATCAAAATTCTGTTGTCATCATAATATGTAACAAATCATTTTCAAATGCTATTAAATGTCACATTGAAAAAGCAATATAAAACTAGAATTGATCTATCATAAATCATTAGTTAAAAATAACTAATCTTGATTAAAATGAACGGATAAGAAGTAATAATAGTGTCAAATATACTTATAAAACATTTTTACATCAAGTATTTACCAAAAAAAAGAAAAGGAAAATTTTCTGTTTATAGATTAAAATCTATTCATAATATGAAGTCAATTATCAATGATATAATAAGAAATAACAAGCGTAATAAAACATTAAGGTTTTGATAATTGTTTTTTAGATAAAATATTTATTGTCCATATGCCATACATGTGGTAAAACACTTATGTTATTGCTCGAATCTATTGTAAACTCTTCAATAATCATAAACAAAGCAAATAGAATATTACGGTCAAATTTTTCATGAGAAAAGATTTCTTTTTTTTTCAAGTACACTTATTAGTCTAATAAAATTAAAAAGGAAAGGAATCTAATTACCATCGCAAAAGAACAATGGTTGTCCAGCAAATAATGGTTCACGATCACTGGGTCTAAATGTGGGACAAACACGCTCGACTTCATCACAGATCGTTCGACAAGGCGGTATAAGACGATTTTGATAAAAGTATGGAATTTTGACTGAACAAGCCCATGTTTGATAAGCTTTCTAAAATATCAAAAACATAATAATAATAATAATAATAATTAGGAAAAAAAGAAATATTCTTACTTGACAATCGGCATTGATTATTGAATAACGATTTTCTACTGATGCTGAATCGATAGCTTCCATATAAGTAACAAAAAGTAATAAAGCTTTTTGAGCTTCTTTGTCGTTTGTAATTAATTGATTGAATATTTTTCGACATTCGTTTTCTGTTATTTCGTTGAAAAAATTTGTTTGATTTATCGAATGATTTAATGTATAATTTGAACAAAATGGTAAATAATGTAAATTTAATGATAATTGATTGATATTGTCGAATTTTTCGAATGGTGATTTTTGTGCAAGACAAGTTTTTGAACATAATCGATCGATGTATAAACCATTTAATAATAAACATTGTTGTTCGTCCTCTTTTATTATGGACGGCGATAATTTTGGACCAAATGTTGTTGTTGATGCGTATGTTGTCATGAGTTTTATTGAAGATAAGGAAAAAAATATTATTGACCAATGAAGATGATTGATTAGGAAAAGCAATGTGAACATGTAGGTGAGCAAATGCTTCACTAAACATTGCTGCGGCCGATAACGGCGCCGACAATGATAAGTTTTAGGATTAGTAAATATCGATAATGAAGATTTAATAGATGAAAAATTATATTCAAGTTCTTTTATTTGTTGATAAAGATGTTCATGTTTAGGAATTTGAATATCATCATCACCATCATCAGTGACGAGAAATACAGACATAGCACAGTGCTACCTTGTACATGGCTAACCTAGACAAATAATTATATAATAAATAAATCATTTGATAAATTTCGAGCTAGTTTTACTGTAAGAATTTTCATACGAATAAGAATATGAATATTTCAACAAGAATATAAAATATTTAGAAATGCTTTTATGTACTAGATGCAAGAACATTTAATGAGATTTCTTAGCAGTAGAAATCTCCATGCGAGTAATGTAACATTAGAAGATTCAAACTATAGTCTTCTCAAAGTTTAATAAGTGTAACTAATCAATCAAAATCGACTATATTTTAGTACGAGAAGACATCAATCAGAACTATAAAAAAAAAAAAATAGATTAATTTATACGATTAGTATTAGAGAATAAGATTGACTCAATAGACTTTGACATAAGTCTCGAAGGCAATGTATCACTTGTTGTGTTCTTTTTTTTGTTTAACAAAATTTTTGCATGAATTTTACTATTTATTGATATTTTTTCTGCACTTAATTTTTAATACAATTCATATGTAATTAAAAAAAATCTAACTTGGCATTATAAACATTTGCAGGACTCTACTCAGCATGAGTAAAATTGATAGATACTTAATACTAATAATTTCCGGAAAAAATTAGTTCAATAAACTTTCCTATTTCTAGTTATTATATGTTTAAAATTTTGATTAATATTTTTGAAATATAATATGTACATATTTATTATTTTTTTATCATGAAAATATCTGTCAAAATTTTGAAAAACGTTTTTTTTTTTATATAGATGTCACTAATGAATTGAATATCTAATTTAGAAATGATAGAATAGAAAAATGATTATTATCTTCCTTTGTAAATAAAAAGAAATGATCTTTTCAGAATATAGAAGATAATTATTGCTTTAAGATTTAGTTATTAAACGTATCCGGTAATTTTGTCAATAGGATATGAGTTCACATATGTCAAATAAAATTTAGCACGATCTAATTTCTTTCCTCTTTTTAATTAATCTTTAAAAAAAAAAAAAAAAAGAATTTTTATCTAGTAATATTTTCATACCCTCGATATGTTTGACAAAATCGATTTGTGATTGTTGATCTTGTTGTTGAGCATCCATCTGCAAGCACCGATGTCATCGAAACGTTCAATATTTTATCATATATCCTTATTGTCTTCAATCGAATATTGTATCTAGAAAAACAACTAATAAGTGTTCAAAAATAAAAGAAATATAACGCATCAATATTTGTAATAGTATCAAGAATACTTGTTGTTTTTCTTTTTCAAAATCCATGTATTTGATCATCATTAAGTCACATTTCAATTACTAAACATATAGTTATTGTTGTTGAATACAACGAGAACTAAATTGCAGAAACACGTTCTTTGTCTCTCTCTCTCTCTCTTTGTGTGTCTTTTTAGTAGCCACCACTACCGCTGATGATGCTTCTACTTTTATCGTCTCCATTATTATTATTTTTTGTCCGCTCTTTCTCTCTTTCTTTTTCATTTTAGTTCTAGTGGTCCCAGCTGCCACGACGACTAGGTTTTCTTTTTTTTTCTTCTCTCTTTTTCTGTCGTTTTTTTTTTTTCTGTCTATACTAGCGCTATTTTCTATTAGCAAATGCACTGCTCTACTGCCTGGCTGTTACAACGAGAAACACAAGAATGAACGAACATTTCGCGTCATTGTACGGAAAGAGAGAAAGAGAAACAAGAAGACTACCGCAGTGCTCTTTTCCCGATACAAAGACTCGATCGTCCTGATGCTCTCTTTCTTTATGATTATTCTATTTCAGGCACCGGGCCTATTTCCCTTTCCTTATCGTATCTTCTTCCCTCTTCACTTTTTTTTTTTCGAACTGGACATAAACAGACAATTCTTATAAATTAATCGAACCGTAATAGATGTGGAAGATTAAATAAATATTTATCAAAACCATACAATGAAAGTATATGAAAAAAAAACACTGACAACAATAACAAGAAAAACATAACATATATATGCATATACAAGTTATAAACGCAATACGATCATTGGATATTCTCTAGAGATAGAGACCATATTCACTACCGATGTTGCCTTCATCATGGCCGTCTTACTCAAGCCTTCCAATTCCTTGACATGTTCTTCTTTCGCTCTTGTCGATGTAACGTCTTCCCCCCCCCCCCCCCCCATTGCTCCTTGTCTCTCTGTTCCATTATGCTCGCCGCACTCATGCCTTGTTCACTCTTATCATTCGTCTTTCTTGAGAAGGGCAAGCAAAAGGGCGGCAGAGAGAGAAAGCGGCAGCGACGACGAGGACGATAATTCTACTCAAGAGAAAACGCAATGGTTCGCAGACTGAAATCGAGACATAATACTATGAAAAGACATAGACATCGCTTGTTGCTTTACAAGTTCTTTTTTTTTCCGTTAAATAAAAATGATCTTTCAAACGTTTTCGTATCATTTTTCTTTAAACACTTAAACAGAAATAGAAAAAGAAAATCAATACGAACAAAAAGAAAAGGAAAATTTTGTTTTTAAGTAAAAAAAAAGAAAACTTATATCAATAATATATTTTACATATTATGTCGAATAAACATGCCCGAAAGGGGAGAATGAACGAACAGTAACACAACAAGTCCTATTTCCGATTCACACCAACCAATATATATATTTATATATCTATCGTTTGAATCGATAGTATAAAAAAAAAAAATAGAAAAAGGGAACACATACACACACAACGCCTGCAGCATTACTTTCTCTCTATCCCTTCGATAGCTAATGTATGCGTTTAATAGAACATTAAAAGTCATTGAAAAGTAATTTTCATCACACATACAATTCATATATTGTATGTGTGCATGCACGCGTATATATTTTTTTAACGATAGATACTCTAAAAAAATAAACATCGAATTAAGTATTATTACTCGATTACTTTTTTTTTAAAATAAATATAAAAGAAAAGAAAAATCAAGTAGTTAAAAGAATTCATTTATTCATGTGTATATCCTTTCTATTTTATATTCGACATAATGACTTTTACACTTAACATTTTGTTGTATTTTCTTTTTGTCTTTCAATTCATGAAGAAAAAAGAAAAACGTTACCTTACATAATAATTTACCATTCAGTTAAGAAAAGGAAACGATTGTCTGTGTATTTTCTTTTGAACACTCTTTTCTTCATACCAATATAACGACATACACAAGCATTCTCCGTTTCTATATGGATGTCTATTGTTTAGACGGTGCTCCCTATCATTCCGCAATTTGCTATCCTGTCATATTGTGTCCCGTGTGTGCCATTGTCAATCTCACTTAGACGAGCAGTCAGCCAACATCGATTATGAAAAGTTGGAGACGTTTGGTTGTTCTCTAGGCAATATAATAAAAGCTATTTCGTATGCATGCAATACAAAACGATATGATACAAAAGAATATGTTCTTAACTACACAAATAATTTATTTGTCCATATATCTCATCTAGTTTTAGATGAAGACAAAAGAAAATGACGTTGCATCAACTAACTGTCAACAAGAATGACGATAGTTTTGCGATCCCTATTTGTCAGATATTTGTATTCATCTCAATGTACATCGGTTAAAAAAAGAAGAGGATGATAGAAAAATCAACTAGTTATCTATGTTTGTTCGAGTAGAATTTCTTCTTTTTTTTTTTTTTTTTTTTTCTTCTCTATTCTGATCAATATCGAACAACTAATTGTCTTTACTACTATGTGCATTGAAGTAATATTATTCCATTACAACAGCAACAATAATAACACATCAGACGATGTTTCTTTTCTTTCTTCATCTTCTTTTCTATTTCCTCTTGTCATTATCATCATCATCACAGTCGTTCTTCGAAATCTAAATAGCATATTCATCCATCTAATTATACAGAATATGCAAACATTAAGAGAAGACAAAAAGATCATTTCTTCTTCGTTATTTTTTACCTGTTCGTTTATAATACAAATCACGTTTTTGATAAATAGAAATATATGAGCGCCCAAGTATGACGGCGATTGGAAATATGTCGATGCCGTCTTGCTATTGCTCTACAGCAAATGATTTTTATTTCTTTCTCTCTCATTTTCTATATGTTTCTCATCGCTCGCTTTCCTCTTTTCTATATTATGATTCAATTCCTTGATCATTTGACCTACATCGCGTCTCTATATGTGTTGCTCGTTGCTATTCTCTCGTTTTTTTTTCTTTTTTTTTTTTTTTTTTTACATACACACTAAGAAGACAAGAGAATGAAGTGATAGAACGGTTGGTCTTTTCTTACCAGTGTGCTGTCATTATTGTCATATAGGTTTTCTTTCTAGCACTACGATCGTGACTTATTCGACAAGAAAATGAAAGAAAGAGAAAAACTATTAACGACTCGGCATTTCTTTCTTTTTTTTTTTCTTTTTTTCGCGCTCATGCTTGTTTTTTCTTCAGAGAGATCTCGGACTAGCTATAGCGGCTATAGAATGAACTACACATTATGACATTTTCTTCTTGTATATGAAAAGCGAGATCTTCTCAATAGTAGTAAAGTCTCGTGTTCTCAGTTCCCATTTGCACTTATAACCCAGACAAAAGACAACGAACTGAGAACTCATAAACATGAGAGAGAGAGAATACAATCTGTTTCCGGGAGTTTATTCACAGACTCGCACATCACAAACACACACACACAGACAATCTTCATCGTTGAAGGAATAAGAGATAAATCTCTGACGAGTCGTCAAAAAAAAGAAGAATCCAATCAATTTTTTCCTTCTTTCTAACTTTCAACAATAGACAACAATCGATCATTGATAGAAACATACAAAAGAAGATGATAATATATAATAATTTCATCTAACTAAATTATAATAATTATTAGTATTGTCATTATTTGCTTCATCTCATAGTTTTATATATATATATATATTTATTTTTAATATAAAAATAAACTAAATCATTCACTTTTTTCTTCGTGAGATTTTTTCTTTAAAGTTACATATGTTTTGGCACGTTCATATAAATCTT